TTATATAAATCAGCAAATTTTAGATAAATTCAAATGAGCACTGAAAAATAAGGGACCGTTTTCTTACAGTTTAAAGTAAAACAATCGTCAAAGATGATTGGGGGAATTTTTTTTATTTATTTCCTTTCCTATTTTATATCAACAAAAATATGAAGTATTTTTCTTATTTACGAGATGATAAAGTTAATACATCTTTTAAGATTTATGGTAAAATGACAATTAAACAAATAAAAACTGCAAAATATAAATAAAAAGAAATAAAAAATTAACTTTAACTCGACATTTCTTTGGCCTCTTTTTATTCTTTTCATATTTCAGAATATGCAGTGAAAAAATTACAACTTTAACTATTAAAAAATATCAACTCTACGATAAATATGAACAAGATCAGAATTTCCATTTCCAAACCTATGCACAAAAGTTAGCTTCTCAAGATATAGTGTTGCATTTTCTACATATATAAAGTTGATATCTCTGTTTGTATGTTTGTCCGATCATAACTAATAAACCCCTATATTGAATTGCTTAACATTTTGATTGGGGAACTTGGGAGAACCACGGGAGTGTTCTTAGCTTGGTTGAGAAGGTCGTAATTTACAGCCAAGCAAGCGCGGCTGAACGACGGGTTTAACTATGAGTACCCTGAGCAATGCTGGGTTCCCAAGCTAGTATCTATATATAAACAATAAACATTATACATATGTGGTATATGAATTTATCGAAATAAAAGATCTGTCTAAATGTCTTGAAGTTTGATTCAGTGAGAATAAGAAATTTGTTTATCTAGAACTGATTGAAGGAAGGCGGCCCCAGCTAGAATCTGTGTTATCCTAATTCAAATATAAACATATTGTATAATTTTTCTTATGAAGCTCAGATCATTTTTACATCATATAAATCAAATTTATTTACTAAAAAATCAGCTTATTCATGTAACAGTGATTTACATACAGTCCTTAAACATGAATATCAGTAATCAAATGATCAGCCGGTTATTTAGCCCGTAATAAGCTAATTTATAATCTAGTAATCATTTTTTTACTAGTCGTCAGCTAATTTGTTTAGGCTGATTGATATAACCGTAATTAGCCATAAACCAGTAATAAGCTGATTTACATATACAAAATTAGAATAGCTTCCTATTTACTTAATAGTAATAATTTATTTACCAGTACTGAGCAGGTTCATATAGGTTCCACAGTAATCAGCTGACATTTTAGTTTCAGTTTATTTCTATACCATAATCCCCAAAACATGATTATTTTATTTGATTTGCAAAAAAACAGAGTTCATCCCTGATACTTTCCTCTTTTTCTCCCGTTTTCTGCTTTCCCCCTCCTTTCCCCTCACCTCACTTTCCCTTCCCCCCCCCTACCCTCCTGTCATGTACGCTTACAATATAGTCTGCAAAGAAATAAAGAACAATTAGTGTCAAAAATTCACTTTTTGAAAGCTCTTGTTTTCCAATATCACGGTATTTTTAGAATCTAAAATGATGCTTTTTATTCCCTGAACTGTTATTTTAACAGCTCTCCGACATCTAGCTGCGGTCCACCTAAAATGTCTGTTTTAAATCTCCTAGACTAGACATTTTTGAGATGCTGGGGGAGGTATAATAGAAGGAATAAAAAAACAAAGATCGGAACTGAGTATCCTGAGCCGGTGTAGTGCATGGGGACAACTCTCGGGGGGGGTTCACATAAAATACTCAGAAAATAAAAATTTTTTGCATTAATAATCCTTGCAGCTGTTGATAACGTTTCACTGACAATGGTTAAATGTTTTCTTATCAACTGTAAACAGTTGATCAGAAAAATTTGACATTTTGATTTCTGGAAATAAATAAATTTAATAAAATGCTGATTTTAAAAGTTAGCAAAAAGGGCCTACCCAAATAATATACAGGATCATATATACAGTATACGGTGGGTAAGTACAATATATATGCAGTATACAGTATACGGTGGGTAAGTACAATATATACAGTTTACAGTAAAGAGGACAATCTGTACCGGTCTACTACAGGACCAGTTTGTTTTAAAGGACCCTCTATAATGATGTTAGGTACCTAACTCACCTAACACCTCTATAATGCATATACAGTATATATATGACCATCTATATAGTATTAAGAACCATCTATATAATATAGAGGATCATCTATATAATATAGAGGGCCATCTATATAGTATAAAGGACCATCTGTAAAGTATTAAGAACCATCTATATAATATAGAGGACCATCTATATAGTATTAAGAACCATCTATATAGTATAGAGGACCAACTATATAGTATTAAGAACCATCTATATAGTATAGAGGACCAACTATATAGTATAAAGTACCATATATACAGTTCACGAACAGGGAAGGAAGGAAAGGGGGCGCGAGGCGCCCTTAATACCTAGTGCAGCAGACAGGGACCATCTATACAGAATCAGGCCATATTTATAGTGTAGACGACCATCTATACAGTAGACAGGGACCATCTATACAGTAGACAGGGACCATCTATACAGCAGACAGGGACCATCTATACAGTAGACAGGGACCATCTATACAGTAGACAGGGACCATCTATACAGTAGACAGGGACCATCTATACAGTATTCAGGCCATATTTATAGTGTAGACGACCATCTATACAGTAGACAGGGACCATCTATACAGCAGACAGGGACCATCTCTACAGTAGACAGGGACCATCTATACAGTAGACAGGGACCATCTATACAGTAGACAGCATTGAGGGACCATTTATTTTAAAATCTATTTTAATTATGTGTCTTCACACTAGATTGCAGCCATTATTCTGACAATCCACTTTTACCACCAAAATACACAAGAAATTGCAGACACCAATTTTAACACCAATAATTTAAAAAATTAGTCCAGTGACTTTTGGATTTCAAACTCCTAAAATTTTATTTTCGCTTGTTAGAATGGAACTGGGAAAGGGGGGGGTTACATGACGTGACGTTTGTCTTGTATTTTATTTTTATTTTTATTCTGTTCATAAAGGTTGAAAACAATAAATGTAAAGGAAAAGTTAACCAGTTAAAGTCTGGTGTATCCACTTCAAGACATTTGCAGTATAGAACTTATATAGGGATCCAGATTTATCTTACTATGTAAATATTTACTTACTATAAATATATTTTACTTTGAAATCAATTTTACTATAATATGACTCCATTATAATATTTTTATTATTGTCTTTGGTATCAATCAACTTAAAAAATTATGGAAGAAGACATTCTAGCCTATTCACCAACTGTCATGTTTCGTGGGACACCCTGTATATGGTTTGAAAATTTTAAGTTTTAGAGATAGAAAATCTTTTAAGTTGGATCCTGAAAGCACCATCGTAACATAAGTATCTAAACTTGAGAGGTATCTAGGTATCTAGATACCTAGATATGTAGATATCTAGGTATCTAGATATCTAGGTATGTAGATATCTAGGTATCTAGATATCTAGGTATCTAGATACCTAGGTATATAGATATCTAGGTATCTAGATATCTATTGTATCTTGATATCTAGCTATCTAAGTATCTAGGTATCCAGTTACCAAGATATCTAGGTATCCAGATACCAAGGTATCTAGGAATCTAGGTATCTAGGTATATTTATAAACCCTTATTCTGATATTGAAAGGATGACTTGTAGACTGTAGTCTCTACTGGGAACCAAAATGCAAAATCATGCACGCAAACTTGACTGTAAATTTTTCTCTCTTTTTTTTGCAAGTTTGCAAAGTTGATTTTAGGGGGACAAAAATTTACACAGTTTCTTTAATATTGAAGAGAGCTTACTACAAAAAAATATCATATTCTTATCATGTTTTCTTATAAAGAATGTACTCCCTAAATTCTGATGTCCCTGGCACCTAATACGTGTAAACTGTATATGCAATAATGATGTGCTAAATCCGTTCTCTGCTAGGTTTGTCATAGAGTGGGGAGGGGAGGAGAGGGAGGGAATGGGGAGGGAGAGAGAAGGGAGTGGGAGTGAAAGGGGAGGGGAGGTTTAAACTAAGCTGGACTGGATTAAAAAATTGGGAGGAGTTGAAAAGAGGAATTATAAGGGGGTGACATTTTTGAGATGCTGGGGGAGGTATAATAGACAAACATTTTAAACAAAGATCGGAACTGAGTATCCTGAGCCGGTGTAGTGCATGGGGACAACTCTCTTGCATGGGACGGACTCCCTTGCATGGGACGGACTCCCTTGCATGGGACAACTTCCTTGCATGGGACGGACTCCCTCTAAAGTTTTAACCATTTTAACACAATGTGAGACATATAAAGCAATGCTAAAACATCGAGAATTTTTAGTTGACATATATTAACTAGATATTTTAGATTTTTTAGGTTGCTTCGCGCCCATCTTCTATTTCATTTGTAAACATTTATTTTGCAAAGCAGAGACAAAAATTCGCGGATTATATAAAAAAATTCGTGGATTTTCAAAATTTTCAAAAATCGAATTTTGTAGAGGCAAATTTTTGAAAATTCGATTATCCATAAATCTTCCCTGGGGTCATGTGATGTCCCACAAAAAATTTGGGCCCGACAGGCTTAGCCGTTGTGACGTTTATCGGATACACATTGACAAACAAACAGACAAGCAAAGTATATAAATAGAAGATACTCATTTAGTTGTTAAATATATTTCAAAGGGGATAAATGCAAAAAAAGTTATTTCCTCTTGAATGTCGTCTTCTTTTCAAATCACCAAACAATTAATATTTACTTGAGTTTTAAATGTGTTTTCCAATCAAACTACGTTAATAAATATCAGAAAAAGTCGTAACATTGCTTTATATATCTTAAATTGTGTTGGAATGGTTAAAACTGATAGGGGGAGTCCACCACTTGCAGGAGTCCGCTACATGCATGACAACTGGAAGGAAGGCCGGAGTTGTTCATTTATCTTAAACCAGTTCCTGAGAAGTCGAAATACGTCACAGTCAAATGTAATGAATAAGAATATGGTTCAGACAAGTATACGAAGGAGGAAAGAGGAAAGCTTAAAGGTCAAACATCACGAAGCGCGAGAAATTCACAATCACATGGAAAGGCAGAGAAGGAACGAGCTAAAAGTAGCGTTTGATGAGCTGAAAGCTTGCATACCAGACATAGCAACCTCGGAGAAAGTATCCAAGCAGATGATTTTAGATACAGCTTTACAAAACTGTAAGCTTCTTAGGTCTAGAGAGATTTCAATGAAACTACGAAAGGAGAAATTGAAGAAAGCGAACGCTGAATTGAAACAGAAACTATTAAGTTTGCAGGGATTATGCTAGTGTGTAGTAGATGGGCATTATATATATATATTCTATTGGAACCTCGCCTATAATCTCGACAAAGTGATTAAATCTAAATTATTAAATTTAACATAGTTATATATGCATATTTCATACAAATTATATTAACGGTTAGATTTCTTCAAACCTACTCTATGCTTCATATTTTTTGTACAAATTGTATAATTTTTCACCAACTAAGACTAAGAATAAGGGTGGATATATAAAGATTTATATAAATATAATTTGATACTTATTAAACTTGTATGTTTTAAATCCTGAGGCAGGTATGGTTAAAAACAAGATAAGAGTGAGACAGTAACCAAGAGAGCTAGATAGATGCAGGGAAAATAACTGGTTTTAANTTAAATACTAGATCCTTCACTCTTACGGAAGGAAGGTTTAAAAGAGCTAGGAAGGGTTTAGGAACACTAGTAATGGTTTATAACTACTAGAAAGAGAGGAAAAAACAAAAGGTTTATTTTTTATTTACATGTTGGAGAAGTTTTGATATAAGATATGGTATTGATAAAGTGAGAAATATTACCGACCTATGATTCCCCCAACAGAGGGACTATTAAGTAAAAAAAAATTAAAATTCACTACGTTGGATTTGAAAATACTTTCGTTTTGATCTTAAAAAAAAACTAGAAAAAATATAAATAAACTACACCGTAAGGTGGAATAAAATAGATATTACCTAACTACGGGTTCCCTCGACTAATTTTGCCTGCAAAACATCCTTCGCTGCGCTCTGGATGTTTTGTAGGCAAAATTGGTCTTGGAAAACCCTTGGTAAAGTAAAAATAAAGCAGTTGTAAATATTATATGAGAAACGGGGGAGGAGGGTGAAAACAAAATTTTGGAAAATTGCCTAGGATGAAGCCTAGGAAGAAACGGAGAGAAACGTGTAAAAAAACAAAATAGAGGGTTGGGTACAAAAAGAAGGAGAAGATTGAGGAGGAGGAGGACGAAGTGAGGAGAAATAATTAAAAAGTGTATACGAGGAAAGGTGTTCTAGAATATGGAAATTGAAAATGGAATTTGGACAAACAACAGTGGGAATGAAAACTGGAAAGGAGAAATAAAATGTCAAATAAAAGTAGCGATGAGTTTGAAAGTGGGAAGGTATAAAAATTGTGAAAGTGAAAATGGGAAGTGTTTAGAAAGAGGAATGGAAAGGGGAAATGTATTTGAAAGTACAAAGAAGGAAAAGAAAGACGAATATTTGTTAATTTCCAAAAAACTAGAAATAAAACCCTTATATTTACCCAGTCTCGGCCCTTAAATTACTTGCTGGTAGGTCCTAACACGAAACTATTTTATTAACAGTGAAAAAGTGATCTTTCAAAACAAAGAACAGATAGTAATGTCTTATTTAAAGAAAAATGTTCACTTCAGTCTCGTATTTCAGAAATATTTTGATATCTTCAGATTTATCAAAACTTTATAGATAATTGATAAACTCTATATTTTATGGTTCAGCACCAAAAATATTGTTAACCAGTTAAAACATTAATTCGAATGATCACATGGTCTTCATAAGATAACAACAGTTTACACATAAACGTACTTCTAGACGAAAAAGATTGTATCCCCCCTCCCCTCGTCTTTATTGTACATTTAGAATTTTGCCCAACCCAGTAGATCTAAGATATTTGGTCAGGTAGGCAATGCCCTTCCTCTAATACCTCTTTTTTTTTATAAATTCTGTTTTAATTAATACAATCATCAGTTCCGAACTGGATGGTCCCAATTATTGTATTCAAATAACTGTCTGATTAATTAATCTTCGTATCAATAAATCTGAACTTGTCACTTGTCTGATTCATCAGATAAAATCCATAGAATATATAAAACTATTTTAACCATGCTCAATTTAATCCTATTCTAGCCCCCAATAATAATAACTCTACAATTAGAGCCTGGTCAAGGTGCCCCTTACCACCCCCCTCCCCTTCCCTCTATAAACGCTTACATTTGTTTAAATCGTTGACATCCCTACACCCCATCCCAACCCTACACCATCCAGTTCTTAATAATCAACAATAACTCCCCTTTAACACCCTGCCCTTTCCTCCCCCTCCCTTACTATCTCGCCCCCTCCCCTTTCTCTCCCTTGCCATCTTCCCCCCCTCCTCCCACTCTCCTGACCCGCCCCACCCTCCATCCCCTACACTCCCCCGCTAAGCCCCTACCCTAGATAATACCCTCCTAATATGTCTATTAATATGAATTATAGTTAAGGTTATGTTGCTATGCAACTTTATTATTAATATGGATATGTTACGCTACTTATAGTGCTACCCACAAAGCAAGAGACTTTAATTATGACTTGAAGGAATTGAGTCTTTGCAACAAATCCCAGTTTTCTAATACCTATATATCTACAACCAAATTATGTAAAACTTTGATATTTCAAACTTTGATTGTTTGATATAACAGAGTTCATAGTTTGATATATCTAAGGTCTACAACATTGGGTTGTTAAGATATAGGGATTTAAAAATCAGAGTTTGTGGCAAAGACTCAATTCCTTTGAATGAATTTTTCTACATTAAAATCTGAGGACTTTTCTTCGTAGAGCTTTATTGTGTCGGACTATAATCTATAACAGGACTTTATTTCGTAGAGCTTTATCATGCTTTATCGCAGAGCTTATAAAATCGGACTACATTCGGCAGGCTGAAAGACTTTACTTTAATCCTTTGGACTTTACAGTAAAATATTTATTTCATAATATTTCTCTGAAGTCTCATTTTTTGGAGGTTACCCTGTATAACCCGTAGGGCTACGTGGATACCTGTATAACTCGTAGGGCTACGTGGATACCTGTATAACCCGTAGGGCTACGTGGATACCTGTATAACCCGTAGGGCTACGTGGATACCTGTAAAACCCGTAGGGCTACGTGGATATATTCCGTATCCATAGGTCTATGAAAGGTAAGTCAGTTTCCCTAGTTTTTATTCTTAATGGACTTGACTCATCTCTGTTGACCCATATACGCTTGAAAAAATGTTACACCTTTTTTTCCCTTTCTTGTTTCTATAGTCAGCAAGCTGATATTATGATGTAAGCAGTTCTGCATATTTCCCTAGATGGAATGCCTTTGACTAATACTTGTGTCATAGTTTAGACAGCTTTGTATTAACAGTTTTCTTATATTTTATCCAATTAGTTTTATTAACAGATTCAACAATTTTCAACAAGGAACATGACTGGCTCTGAGAGCAAGGATGGAAGATATTCTTTCGTGGATTGAATTATCAAGCAAATCGATCGGGATGAGCTCAAATTATTGAATCATATAATGAATAAGATACCCAACAGATATGTGAACATACAGATACTGAACCAGATGCTAAACCAGATACTGAACCAGATACTGAACCAGATACTGAACCATATTCTGAACCATATTCTGAACCAGATACTGAACCAGATACTGAACCAGATACTGAACCAGATACTGAACCAAATACAGAACCAGATACTGAACCAGATACTGAACCAGATACTGAACCATATTCTGAATTTAGAATTTATTTGCATCCTTAGTACGTCTAAAGTTGGGTGTGTTGAATTACATTTATCCCGGTCACTTCGCAGTCTAAACAGTACACATATCCCACCATGAGGGGGAAATTTACAGGAATTTGCTTTAAAAAGGGAAGGGGTAAGCCCTAAATTAAGAATTGTTAGGTATTTACACTTTTTAGGAAAAGGGGAGCTGGAAAGGTATTTAAGAAATTTGAATAATAGAATGCTAGAGTCTGGACAGGCGTGTTACAGCTAAGACTTTGCTTGAACTTTGACTGGGCCAACTTGAATATATTGCCGGGCCTTTGCCGTTGATTTAACCTCAACACCCAATTCTATTTTTTGCAGCCCCGGAAATGAATATTTCAAAGCTGAACAAATCCTAATTTGGTTTCATACAGCTGATATTAATTGAGAGATCGTCATATTATCAATCTTAAACTTGACAACTTTGACTTTAATTCTTGCAAGTCCCACGCACATATTATTTAATTGATAAAAACGAAAAAATTCTTAATTTTCTAACGGAACTGACGAAATAGATAGAGGGTTACCCATAAAGGATTATACACTTACGGTGACCTGACACTTAAGATCAAATTCAGTTTTACTCATTACATATTTTCTCATTAATTCTAAAATATGAATACGTTCGGAAATTTTGGCATTTGGGGATAGCCTCGTATATATGTAGCTTATAGTGTACATTGAAAAATATATTTTTTAAATAGGTAGAAACTTATCCTAGATTGGTGAAAGAGCAAAAAATCAATTACACGTTTTCTATTATTTTAAGAACACTGAGAACCGGATATCCGGTAGAGTTTATTTTTCTTCTATTTTCCGACATCATAAAATTGAATGATAATGCAGAGAAACGTCTTAAACCACAAGATGTAGCTATACAGGCTAAACATAGCTACAGTTCTAGACACTATTTCAGACATTTACTCGCTATATAGTAATAGGTAATAGCTAGAAAGTTCTAGATGCACTAGTTAGAAAGTTCTAGACAAAAATACAAGACACAATTTTAGAAAATTTTTAGCTATATAGTTCTTGATTACGGCTAGAATGTTCTGGAAACACTGGTTAGACATTCATAGATACACTAGCTAGACAGTTCGAGAAATACTTACAACAAAGTTCTATATATACTATTTAGACAGTTCTAGATAGAATAGCTAGGCAGTTCTAGATTTATTAGCTAGACAGTTATAGATTTACTAGCTAGATATTTCTACAACCTAGACAGTTCTAGATATTATAGTTAGAAAGTTTTAGACATACTACTAGGTAGACAGTTCTAGATTTATTTGCTAGACAGTTCTAGATATACTATCTAGAAAGTTATAGATATAATGGCTGGATAGTTCTACATATAATAGCTAGACAGTTCTAGATATACTAGCAAGATAGTTATAGATATACTACCTAGACAGTTCTAAATATATTAGCTAGAAAATTCTAGACATACTAGCTAGACAGTTCTAGATATACTAGCTAGATAGTTCAAGATATACTAGCTAGATAGTTCAAGATATACTAGCTAGACAGTTCTAGATATACAAGCTAGAAAGGTCCAGATATACTAGCAAGACAGT